AATGTAAAAGAATATAAGATAATATGAGACAGGGCTAAATAATAGACAGGGCTAACATATACATTTCAAAAAGAGAGAGGAAAAAGAATAAGGCAGAAGAACTATTGTAAGAGATGATGGCCAAGAATTTTTCAAAGCTAAAATAAGGCCAAACAAAAGATTAAATGGCTCTGCTTTTCCCTTGCTGGAGCCAATAGGACAGGACAGCTTGGTCCCAAAAGGTGTCCCCAGTAGCCCAACACACCAGCTGTGGAAGACTGCAGTCAGAGCACCTCTTCCGGCCTGACCCTGACTCATCCTTTCTCACTGGCTGGGACTTCCTGCAGGAAATACAACAACTCCAACCATAGGCTCAGGGACAGAACACAGATCTCCCTGGGCCTGAGCCTCTAGCGGGAGTCTCTGTGAATCAGTAGACATAGCCTTTCCAGACAAGCAAATGCTGAGGGATTTCGTTACCACCAGCCCTGCCTGAAAAAACACTAAATATGGGCGGAGAGGGGGGGTGGACAAACACCAAAATATACTTTCAGGCAAGAGAAACAAATAAAGGGTATTTGAATGGGAAGAGAGGAAGCCAAATTGTCTCTGTTTGCAGATGACATTATTTTATATTTAGAAAACCCTATCACCTCAGCCCAAAAACTCCTTAAGCTAATAAGCAACTTTAGCAAAGTATCAGGATACAAAATAAGTGTGCAAATATTACAAGCATTCCTTTATACCAACAACAGACAAGCAGAGAGCCAAATCATGAATGAACTCCCATTCACAATCACTACAAAAAGGATAAAATATCTCAGAATACAGCTAACAAGGGATGTGAAGGACCTCTTCAAGAACTACAGACCACTGAAAGGAAATAAGAAAGGACACAAAAAAAAAAGAAGGAAAGAAAGAAGAAAAAACATTCCATACTCATGGATAGGAAGAATTAATTTCATGAAAATGGCCATTCTGCCCAAAGTAATTTATAGATTTGATGCTATTCCCATCATACTACCACTGACATTCTTGACAGAATTAGAAAAAAATACTTTAAATTTCATACATGATCAAAAAAGACCCCATATAACCAAGACAATGCAAAACAGAAAGAACAAAGCTGGAGGCATCATGCTACCTGACCTCAGACTATACTACAAGGCTACAGCAACCAAAACAACATGGTACTGGTATCAAAACACACTTACATATCAACGGAACCTCAGCGACCTCAGAAATAACATCACACATCTACAACCATCTAATCTTTGACAAACCTGTCAAAAACAAGCAATGGAGAAAGGATTTTCTATTCAATAAATGGTGCTGGGAAAACTGGCTAGCCATATACAGAAAAACAGAACTGGACCCCTTCATTAAACCTTATATAAAAGTTAACTCCAGATGGATTAAAGAATTAAATGTAAAACCCCAAACCATAAAAACCCTAGAAAAAAACCTAGGCAATACTATTCAGGACATAGGCATGGGCAGAGACTTCATAACAAAAATGCCAAAAGCAAATAAATAAAAAGAAGCCAAAAGTAAAACAAAAGTCAAAATTGACAAATGGGGATCTAATTAAACTAAAGAGCTTCTTCAACAGATAACCTACAGAATGAGGGAAAATTTTTGTAATCTATCCATCTGAGAAAGGTCTAATATCCAGAATCTACAAGGATCTTAAACAAATTTACAAGAAAAAACAACCCCATCAAAAGTGGGCAAAGGATATAAATAGACACATCTCAAAAGAAGACGACAAAAGCATTTTTTTAAAAAAGCTTAACATTACTGATCATTAGAGAAATGCAAATCAAAACCGCAATGAGATGCCATGCCATTTCACACCAGTCAGAATGGTGATTATTAAAAAGTCAAGAAACAGTAGATGCTGGTGAGGCTATGGAGAAATAGGAATGCTTTTACACTATTGGTGGGAATGTAAATTAATTCAACCACTGTGGAAGACAGTATGGCAATTCCTCAAGGATCTAGAACCAGAAATACCATTTTACCCAGCAATCCCATTACAGGGTATATACCCAAAGGAATACAAATCATTTTCCTATAAAGACACATGCACACATATGTTTACTGCAGCACTATTTATAATAGCAAAGTCATGGGACCAACCCAAATGCCCATCAGTGATAGATTGGATAAAGAAAATGTGGTACATATACACCATGGAATACTGTGAAGCCATAAAAAGAAATGAGATCATGTCCTTTGCAGGGACATGGATGAAGCTAGAAGCCAGCATCCTCAGCAAACTAACACAGGAACAGGAAAATCAAACACCACATGTTCTCACTCATAAGTGGGAGTTGAACAATGAGAACACATGCACATGGGGCAGGGGGCAGGGAACAACACATACCAGGGCCTATTGGGGGATGGGAGGTAAGGAAAAGGAACTTAAGAGGATGGGTCAATAGGTGCAAAAAATTTATTTTAAAAAAAGGAAAAAGTTATATATGTGCTTACATATTTTTAAAAATAACAAAATAAACTTATCTCTACAATTTTAAAAAAAAAGACGACATATTGGGTATAGTGTACACTGCTCAGATGATGGGTACACCAAAATCTCAGAAATCACCACTAAAGGACCTTTTATGCTTATATCTATCATCCAACTGGAGTTATACAGCATGAAGTTATATCCATGTAACCAAATACCACCTATTCCTCCAAAGCCTATTGAAATAAAAAAATTTAAATTTAAAAAAGCCAATAAAATAGCACCAAAAATTATCAAATACCTTAAAATAAAACTAAGAAATGATGCATAAAATGAATACAGAGAAAACTGGAAAACATACAGAAAATTTTTAAGAGACTTCCATACAGGGATATTTTGTGTTCATTGGTTAAAAGGTTAAACATTATGATAATGTCAGTTTTTCCCACATTGACCTATGTAGATTCAATGTATTCCCAAACAAAATCTCACTATGGGTTTTGAGTGTCTGTGTGAAATGTGACAAGCTGATTACAAACTTTATATTAAAATTTAAGTGTTTGAGAATAACCAAGATAATTTAAAGAGGAACTAGAGTTGAAAGATTTATACCATGGGATATCAAGATGAATTACACAGTAAGGCCATGTAGTAGCGACACAATGATGGACAGACGGAATGGAGTCAAGACATTGACCACACACAATTTATGATCTAGGTGACACTGCCAAGCAGTAAGGTAAGAACGAGTTTTCTCTTAATGGTGCAGGATCAATAACACAGGTATATAAAAATATCTTGACCCCAACTTCATGCTGTATAACTCCAGTTGGATGATAGGTATAAGCATAAAAGGAAAAATAGTAAAGCTTCCAGAAGTAAATATAGAATATCATTATGACTTGAGACAAGCAAAGATTTTTTAAACAGGACCCCAAAATTCACTAATCAGAAATGTAAAGATGATGCATTCAGCTACATTGAGATTAGAGATTTCTATTATCAAGAAACCAATGCAAATGTAAAAGTTTAGCCATGAGATAGAAGAAGATATTGTAAGACATGCACCATTTTAAAAGATTAATATTCAGAACTTTAAAACGTCTACAAGTAACTAAGAAAGGAATAATTCAATATATAATCAAGTAAGAGATTTACCTGAATAAGTATTTCACAAAAGAAGACATCCAAATAGCCAATAAATACACAAATGATCTTACTAATCAACAACAAAAATGAAAATTAAAATTACAATGTAATATTATCACCAAAACCATTAGGATGAATTAAAGAAAAAATTTTAACAGTATAACTGTTCAGAGGACATAGAGCAATGAAAATGTTAGCACCTGATTGGTTGGAGTGAAAACTGGTACAGCCACTTTTGGATAACTGTTTAGCAGTAACCACTGAAGTTGAACGTAAGTATACCCAGTAAATCCACTCCCAGTTATATACCAAGCAGCAGTTATACTGTTGTACATGCCAAATTTCATGGACAAGAATGTCCATAACTTCATTATTCATAATGGCCCCAAACTGGAAAAAACACAAATGTCCATCATCAGCAGAATGGATTTTTTTTTTTTTTTTTTTGAGACGGAGTTTCGCTCTTGTTACCCAGGCTGGAGTGCAATGGCGAAATCTCGGCTCATGGCAACCTCCGCCTCCTGGGTTCAGGCAATTCTCCTGCCTCAGCCTCCCAAGTAGCTGGGATTACAGGCGTGCGCCACCATGCCCAGCTAATTTTTTGTATTTTTAGTAGAGACGGGGTTTCACCATGTTGACCGGGATGGTCTCGATCTCTTGACCTCATGATCCACCCGCCTCGGCCTCCCAAAGTGCTGGGATTACAGGCATGAGCCACCACACCCGGCCTAGCAGAATGGATTTTTTTAAATGCTGTATTCATAAGATGGACTTGTGTATAGCAGATTCAGCAAACTCTTTCTGTTAAAGGCCCAGTGGTAAATATTTTAGACTGTGAGTGCCATATAGTCTCCATGGAAACTTCTCAACTCTGCTGTGGTAGGGTGAAAACAGTCATAGATATGTAAACAAATGAGACAGTGTGAATGGCTGCATCTCAAGAAAACTTTATTTCCTAGCCTCTGCCATGCAGCAATGGAAAGGAACAAGCTATTACTACCTGTGAGAACATGGATGAATCTCAAAACGTAATGTGAAGCAAAAGAAGGTAGACACAAAAGAATGTATTCTGAAAGGTGGAGGAGGAGATTGGGAGAGGCTTGAAGGAGGCTTCCAGGATGCTGCTAATACTATATTTAATAACCTAAGTGGTAGCCATGGTGTGTTCCTTTTGTGGGTCATTTATTGAGCTGCCCAATATGATTTGTGTACATTTATACTCTCACATATCTTTCAATAAACAATTTTATGAGATAATAATTGACAGTATAAAAGATGACTCAAGAATAATCTAGAGATGCTTTGCTTTGAAAAAAGCAAAGAAGCCAGACAGATAACATCAGAGAATATATTTTCAAAATGCATATTGCACTAACTTTAATTTTTATTATGTGCATAGGATATTTGGCAAAATCAGGTGGTCATTTACTGCTTAGAGATGAAATTCAAGTCATGCTTAATGGTGAGTATTGAGGTTATAACAAAATCTTTATGCATATGTCTAACGGCATTCACTATTTGTTATTCTTAGTCACATGTGAGTTCTATAAAGGTGTCAGGCCAGATAAGAAGAGAGGGGTAGTAGTGGTTGGATAATTATGGAAGAATCAGTGAAAGGACTGGGTTAAGAGGCATTTTTTTTCCTTCTTTCTATTCTATTTCCTCTTCTTCTCTTTCCGTGTTTCAATCTCTCCATTTGTTCTGCTCATTGCCTGAGAACTATCATCCTAGAATGCTTAGGAACTTCAGAAAGTTGAAAATTCATTTACTCATTTATCTAACACATTTTTTAGCATCTCTTATTTGACAGCACTATTTACTGCTACAGACAGAGCTGCAAATGAAGCAAAGTCTCTTCCCTCAGAGAATTTGCATTTTAGTGAATAGCAATGTATAATACATTTTCAGGGGAAGGAATTAAGAAAGGGTAATATTAGTCTATCAAAATGTTTGAATCTTAGGAATCTCTCTTAGCCTCTATTGTCCCAGCAGGGCCAGAATTATAAATAGATGAGTTATAAAAACAAGTTGGCTGCCTTCCTTCCTTTTACTTAATAGACTATTTTTTTAGAGCAGTTTCAGGTTCACAGCAATATTGAGCTGCAGGTATAGAGATTTACCAAATACCTTCTCTCCTCACCTATGCATAGCCTCCCCCATTATGGACATGCCCCACGAGAGTGGTATATTTATTGTAATTTATGGACCTACATTTACACATCATTACCTTCCTTCCTTATTCATTGATTCATTAATTCACTCACTCATTCATTCAACACATATTTGACTGCCTTCCAAATGACACACTAGAATTTTCCATCTTTTTTACAGTCATTTTCTTCTTTCACTCCTCCTCCTCCTGCTCCTTCTCATCTCTGTGCTTTCTAAATCTCCCCCTTTGTTTCTATTTCTTTTATCAAGAAATAAAAAGCAATTTCTCACAGTCCACTATCTGAATTAGCATTTTGGTATATGTCTTATCCTGGATATTTTTAAATAATAAAAGCTGTTATGTATTTTTTAACTATTTTAACTGTTTTATATAACTTTTTTCACTTGCCTTTATAATATAAACATCTTTCTATGCCAAGAAATATGGGCCTACATCATCATGTTAATATGTATGTAGCATTTCATTGTTTATTCCTAAGTTAAGCAGTTCCCTATTAATGAAAATTTAGGCTGATTTTAACTTTTTCATTATTATGACCAATATGAACCTCTTCCTAAATACATGAATATATGTTTATATTATCTAGCACAATGCTCAGCACACAAAAGGTTCTCTGTATTTTAGTGACTATTCCCATTTTTTAATGGAGTCTTGTGGGAATAGGTGATAAAACTACCTGAATGCTATCAGGAAACGTTACAAAATGCAGAGGGAATAAAGAGGAGAGTTGGAGAAAATTGGGGACTCTGTGAAAGGTGGCAGGGCTGTTTAGTAAAGCTTCATGGCCTCTAAGAAAGAGATGTCATGAACTAAGTCTCTTTTGATATTACAGCTACTGAACGACTGCTCCAAGATGAAGACCCTGTGATCAAAGAGTTGGCTAAAATAACCCACAATATTTTTAAGAAAATAGCCCATAAACTGACCTCTGCAACTCTTAAAGAAAACTTCCAAAAATTGTTGAAATTCTTCTACATCAAAAAATTGAAGACTCTTTATAATTATAACTCACCCAATGGCCAGATAGACAGTCCTACAGACAGTGAATATATCAAGAATGATAAGGAAGGCCATAGAGAAGAGAATGATGATGACATTTTGGTAAACAATCAAAAGTTCAACAATGTCTTGGAGCCGATCTCAGAATAAAAATGATTTTTCTTTCCCTCCTGACAACCTGAGTCTGTTTGTAGATGCTTTTCTGAAAAATGCTGGAGGCATTTACTGTCTCTTCTTAATTCTCTATTCAAATATAGAAATCTGAGAAACGTAGTGCCTTTCTATGTCTGACAGTGATCAGAAGCCCTATTTCATCAAACCCACTAAGACAATTGAAAATAACACAATCAAAAAGAAGAAGCTCTTGGTACTTGATTCTGTCAGTAAGCATCTACTGAGCACTTTCTAAGTGCCAGATACTGTGCTAGGCAGTGGGGACATTTGGCTAATATAGACAAGGTTCCTGACCTCACGATGGCCATAGTCTAGTAACACATAGTGTGGTCATTTCTACCCTGCTGGGAAGAATACTGCCTAGGGCAGTGTTAACAAAAAAGATATGGAACTTGAAGAAGAGAACAGGGAGAAGGAAATGTATTCTAGATAAAGGCATTGAGCAATCAGAGTGTAAGGGAAAGTTGAGGAGTTTGTGGGTACAAGTATGAGGAGGAAAGAAGAATGAGGAGATCTGATGCCCAAGGGAAGATTATGCTAATGAGCTTGAGCTTTTTAAAAGAAAGATTGGACAGTCTGTCATAGTCAGTACTCCCATTGCCATCAGAATTATAAAACCTCTTCAGTGATCTTGATCAACTTAAGGCTCAGGCTTATCCTTCACTCCTCTCACCTTACCTTCTCCAGATCCCAATGCCCCACATGAGCATAAGCCATTCTAGCTACAGTAAACTACTTACAGTTAGATGAAAGCACTTTTTCTCTGTTGATTCAGATGTAGTGGCATCTAAATTTGTAATGTGTCAACTTGCAGTTCAAGTATGTTTTTCTTTATTTGCTGGGTCACCTCTCTAGAATTGTATGGCAACCACTCCAGCTTCCCCTACATTCGCCTTCAGCTTCTCTGACTTCTGGGCCAGGTGAGTTTAGTTTTATTGACAAGGATACCAGTTTCTCCTGCAGAATACCTACATATTGACATCAAAACTGGAAGGAGTAAGAGATGGGCACAGTCTTGAGCTTGTGGCTTCTACCTTGCCCTTGCTCTTCCTATTTCATATACACCTTCCCTCTCAAATGCCTGCCATGCATATTTCAAGTTCCAGGATCAGCTGTGAAGATGATAGACTTCAGAGACTAGACTACTCCTGCTCCCACAATTCATAAGACCAAATCCCTAGGTCTGCTGCTTTAGTTGAATCCTGATAGATATATCTGGGATGCATTTTCTTTCCCACTTTGGTCAAGTTGGGTGGATGTTGCTCCTATATTTTGCCTTAACACCTGTGATTATACCTCTCATCACTTTTATTGCACTGTAGTAAAATTATCTATTTCCTTCTCCTTCTGACTCATAAAATTGAAGCTTTAGAAAAGCAACTGTCATATCTTATACTTGGTTGTGTACTCTGGGTCTCAATGCCTGGCATTCAATGAATATTTGCCAAATGAATGAAATATTAATGAGACATATTACCCTCACACTTCAATGAAAGTTTTTATATATCTATGAAATGTGGAGTAATAAAATAATGACTAGAAATAAATCATGAATAACTTTAATTTATCCCTTAATCCATATTATTTTATATATCCAAATGTCCCAGGTCTCACATTTCAAAATTAGGGCAAAATTCCATTCCTACCTAATGAATCAGCAGAATACCTAAAGAGGTAGGCTGAATAATGACCTCCCCCAAAATATCCAATTCCTAATCCCTGAAATCTGCAGATATTTTGCTTTATGTGACAAAAGGAATTTAACAGATGTGATTAAGAATCTTGAGATGGGGAGATTATTTTGGATTATCTAGGTGGGCTTTATAAGAGGTATGTGGGAGGTCAGTGAGAAAGGGGATTCTTGAAGATGCTACACTTCTATTTGAAGATGGAGGTAGGATCCATGAGCCAAGAAATGCAAGGAATGCACGTCTAGGAGCTGAAAAAGGCAAGAAAATTGATTCCCACAGAATTTCCAGTTACAAACATCTTGACTTCAGCCCAGTGAAACCCACCTGGGACACCTGACATCCAGAACTGTATGATAATATATTCATGCTGTTTTAAGGCCCCATTTGTGGTAATTTGTTAGAGCAGCAATAGGAAATTAATATGTCTATATTTCTGCAAACAAAACCAAATCAACCAATACCCATCAATCAATCAGATAGCAACTGATATAGTGGGCCTTATTCAAATGCTGATATTTCTTTAAAAGGTCTGATAATTATATTAGAAATGATCTTCGGCCAGGATCCAAGATGGCCGAATAGGAACAGAGTACAGTTCCCAGCAAGAACAATGAATGCAGAGGGCGAGTGAACACCACATTTCCAAACGAATTACTGCCCACAGACCAGGAGATTCCCTGCTGAAAAGTGCCACAAATTTCCAGCACAGCTGTTTTAGCCAGCACAGCAAGTCTCTGCACAAAAACTCACACAAATCTGGGCCACTGTTTCAACTGGCGCCTGGAATTCCTGGGAGACAGAGTCACCAATTCAGCTGAAAAAAAACGGGGCAGGAGAGGGAACTAGGTGATCTGATTTGGCAGGTCCCACCCCCACAAAGACCAGCAATCTGAAATGCTCTGGATTGAGAGTTTCACAGCAAGCACAGCTCGACCCTAGATGATCCAGCTCTGTGGGGGTAAGGGCATCCGCCATTACTGAGGCAGTCCACCACTACCGAGGCTGGTCGCCATTACCGAGGCAGTTCGTCATTACTGAGGCAGTCTGCCATTTCCAAGGCAGTCTGCTATTACTGAGGTAGTTTTAACTATACTTCCATAAACACAACTGCAAGGAAGTTCACATAGCCCTGTTCTCAAATCTTCATTGCCTTCTCTGCATGGCTTAGGACTCGTCTTTCACTTCGGCTGCCACCCTATGAGCAAAAGCTGCTACCCCACCATCCCTCTTCCTTTGAACCTATCTAACCTTAGATTAATTCACCTAATTCTACTTCCTTCTCTGCTCCTAGATTACATTGTTCCCCAAGAAACATGACACATACATGCAGAATGATGCTATTACCCATGAAGATGTCATGGTCCACTAGAAATCTGTGCTCCTCAACCCCATCCAGACCTTGATACCCCAGGCAAGCCTTATAACTAGTTCCTGCCTTTATTTAACACTCCTAAAGTCTGCTACTTGACCACTGGCCCACCCATTCTCAACAGATGACTTTGCCTATTCTATCAGACTGGAGATCTATTTGATTCCAAAATTCATGTGTTCTATTTATATTGGGAATGAGTACGGCAGAGGTGGCAGGAATGGGGAGAAAAGGGGAGCTAACAAGATAATTCTGATACGTAATCAAGAATAAAAATTAGATAATATGGCTGGGCATGGTGGCTCACGCCTGTAATCCCAGCACTTTGGGAGGCCAAGGTGGGTGGGTCATGTGGTCAGGAGTTTGAGACCAGCCTGGCCAACATGGTGAAACTCTGTCTCTACTAAAAATACAAAAAATGAGCCATACGTGGTTGCAGGCACCTGTAATCCTAGCTGCTCAGGAGGCTGAGGCATGACAATCACTTAAACCCTGGAGGCAGAGGTTGCAGTGAGCCAAGACCATGACACTGCACTCCAGCCTGGGAAACAGAGTGAGAGCTTAGTCTAAAAAAAATTAGATAAAATGTGTTATTTTAACTCAAAGTCTGATTGATATGGTTTGGCTGTGTCCCTACCCAAATCTCATCTTGAATTCCTACATGTTGTAGTAGGGACCCAGTGGGAGGTAACTGAACCATGGGGGCAGGTCTTTCCCATGCTGTTCTCGTTATGGTGACTAAGTCTCACAAGATCTGATGGTTCTATAAGGGGGATTTTTCCCTGCACAAGCTCTGTCTTTGCCTAGTGCCATGATTGGAAGGTTTCCCAGCCATGTGGACATCTATTAAAACTCTTTTTTCTGTAAATTTCCCAGTCTCAGGTATGCCTTTATCAGCAGCTTGAAAACAGACTAATACACTTATATTTATTAATTTTGTTTTATAAAACAAAATTATATCCCATCAAGCTTTGTTAAAATATGTAGGTTTCTTCTTTCCTAAGAGGCTATCAGAAGTTCCTACAAAAATTACAAGTGAAATTTAAAAACTAAAGCTTATCTTAAGGAGTTGAGTAATGTGGGGTGGCGGGGGGAGTAGGGGCCATGAGTTATACAGAATTTGCACTTGAAACAGATGTCTACTGGGTGACTACCTCAGAAGAATCATCTTTAGTTCCAAGGTCCAAGCCTATTAGACTAAGCATCAATTGTGCAAAGCTTGCACAATTCAAGGCCTTCCTGGCACATTCTTCAAGGTCTCTCCTTTTCAGCTCTTAATCCAGTTCCTAATTTTTCTTAAAACTTATAAAAACATTTCATGCTTCTATTAATAGTTCCTTATACTCAGTTTTCTCAGTAGCGACTACATATGAATCACATTTTATCTGCAGTACAGACAGTAGCTTAAGGATGTAGATATGAAATAATTTAACTGAACCATTATGTTAGAAATGTTTTAAAATCAGAAAAGAAGATTAGCTGCAAACTTGGAGTTTTTAGATCATATATGTGGTGTTTTATCGATCTCTTAGGTATATTTATAACGCAAAAATCTTTAGGACCAAAAACAGAGACTTTTAAATTTTTTTTTAATTGTACTTTAGGTTCTGGGGTACATGTGCAGATCATGCAGGATTGTTGCATAGGTACATACATGGCAAGGTGGCTTGCTGCCTCCATCCCCCCATCACCTATATCTGGCATTTCTCCCCATGTTATCTCCCCGCAACCTCCCCACCCCCTGCTATCCCTCTTCTAGCCGCCCCCCAACAGACCCTAGTGTGTGATGCTTTCCTCCCTGTGTCCATGTGTTCTCATTGTTCAATAGTAATCATACATTATTGCAGATCCATGTATCACTAACCTATGAAAAATCTGGCATGCTTTCTGAGATCAATGCCAATATCTCTTACATTTTCACACTTTTTATTTTTCATCATGAAAGTTCTTTCTATTCATTTCTCTTGAATATGTACATGTTCTGTGTTTATGTCAAGGCTACAGTCCTGTCAAAGAGCATTAAAAACCCAGAATAAATATCTCAAATGGCTCTTCCACACCTGTCACAGAGCAATCCCAGGACCCCACATGCAGATTCATCAGCTAATACCACTCTATGTCCCTAGTGCCTTTCCATTTTAAATATCTTGCATGTGAAATCTTATTTCATTCTGACAACAATAGCCTGAGGCACATTGTAATTGATGAGGAACCTGAAGTCTAGAATTCCAAGTGACTTGTTCATGATTAGCAAAATAGCTAGTGGGGACAGTT